TTCTATTATTTTATTATCAATAATGGAGAGAAGGGGGGGAGGTGGAAATAAAAAAAGAAGATATTACTAAAAGAAAAAAATAAAATAATTAAGCTTCCTTTCTGCAAATTTCAGAGAGTGCTGTCGATTCGTTTATTATTATTGTTATTTTTTAAATCTCTTATTACAAAACCCCCCGTTATTGATGGTGTTGTCTTTCTCCTTTTTTTCTTCTGCAACAACGACAACAGAGTCCCCTTTTTTAGTTCAAGTCTCAAACTCTTAACCAGTTACCAGCCCATTGTTTAGTTGTTCAAGAAATCCTCAGGGTAGCAAAGCGGAGGGGAGCCATGTCAGGTTTGTATAATCCCAACTTCTCCCCTGCTCGAGCTGCTTCCCCGCAGATTAGAAGCACTCCTGATGTTGACAGGTACTCACCAACCCACAACTAAAGTGATGATGATGATTATGCCCACCTTAACCCATCAAAATTGAAAAAGATAATGAAGATGATACACTTGACTCGCTCTGTGCTTTTGATTTGTATGCTTGCTACTTTGCGTAATTCTGGTCTTTTTGATCTGCTAGTGTGTTTTTCTTTTTCATCTGCAGTCAATACTTGTCAGAGCTGTTAGCTGAGCATCAAAAGCTAGGACCTTTCATGCAGGTGCTTCCGATATGTAGCCGACTTTTGAATCAAGGTTGCTCCTTAATGTTTCACTTTTGGATCTAGGTTTTTCTGGGTTTATCTTCTTCTTATCTCTTTTACTTTCCTTTTCTCTATTACCCACCATGGAAATGTGTGTTTTTCTGGGTATAGATCCATCTAATTGTGCTTTTTTTGCTTGAAACTGTAGTTTGTTTTTGCCAATTCTTCTCTCAGATATATTTACCTCGCCTTGTACCATCTTTTATTGTGGAATTGCTTATACTTATAGCCATAGTTCCATCATATGGTGATACGCTTAGTTTCTGATTTCACCTGATATTATCATTTTCAAGAGTTTAAACTTCCGGGGTGAAAGGATCGTGCTCTAGCTTTTAGTAAGTCGGGGTCCCAAGAGAGCTTGTGTATACCTTAGTAATGTGGATAATAAATTGCGGCCAAGCTTATGTAAAGCTCTATAATGTCAAGGACTTAATGGGGCTTGATTAGCTTCCTTCACTTACTTGTGCAAGAGGGGTCTGTCTCATTTCACGCATTGCTGGATGTTCACTTGTAGAATAGAAAATGGACAGTTGATAGTGAGGGGGATAGAGTTGGTACTTTATTTATGTTAACAATTTCTTGATTGGGGTTCATAAACTTTCCAAGTCACAAAACTTAGCAGCTGCTGGGAAGCTTATGCAGAATATGGAACAGCAGAATTAGTTGATATATATATACATATATACTCATGTATGTATGTTGGATGTAACCTTTCATATTAATGAACTTTCTTTATGGATTTTATAATGATCTGACTTCTGTTGATGACTTTGAATAAGAAATTGCCTGTATAAAACACAATCGTGTTTATGTGTTTGTTTTTTCTATACCCTTTTGCTTTTGTCATTGTATATGGGTGCGGTTGTCTCTACTGATGATGCATATATAATCATATGGCAATCTCCTCTTTTGCAGAGATATTTCGGGTTTCTGGAATGATGTCCAACCAAGGATTCGTTGATCTTGACAGACTGAGGCACAGAAGTCCCAGTCCCATGGCTTCTTCGAACCTCATATCAAATGTTCCAGGGGCTGGATTAGGCGGATGGAACAGCCTTCAACAAGAGGTACTTTTTTCTTCCCTTTACAAAGTAGCATCAATTCTGCATCAACACTTTCAGTTTATCTTCGTACTCACCCACCTTTATCCATCTTCATGACCATTCTTAGCATGAAGCCTTAAAGTAAAAACTTTTTATTTCCTGTGCCCTATCAGTTCTTCAAACTAAAATCCAAGTTTGCTTGTTTTAGCTTCCAACTTATACTTCAAGACCCTGGACAAATGAAGTGCTGAGCTGCTTGAAGCGTTCACTTTGTTATACCGACTAGCCTGCAATATCTTGTTGTCTCTTAAACAGTTTGGTCTTCTTCTATATTGTTTTATAGAAGAAGAAAGTATCATCATAGTTTATCTGTTTTATTCTTCTTTATTTTTTCTATTCTTTTCCAATATCATTGAACTGTTCTGTCATTTGAGAAATTACTTAATAGACTTTATTGAGGCCATTCCTATTTCAAATTTGAAATTATAGCAAATTTCTTTTTATTTCCAATTCCTGTTACTTGTTCATAGGTTACTTGTATGTTATTATCAAGACTAATTATTAGAAAAAAGACCTTTTCACACAGCAGATCAACCATTTTATGAACTATGATATGGTTGAATTTTGTCAAAATTTTAAGTTCTAAGAAATTGGTGTGAAAATGCAATATCAATATGGTAAAAGATTTGATAGAAAATAGCATTCTTATTGTAAGTTTATTCTATATGCAATTAAGACAGGTTCTTTTGTTTTATTGACAACTGAGAATACAAATCTTTTAGTAGAATTGAAGAAATGAGAAAATCTGGTTCAGTTATGTATTGCATATGTAAACTATGAATAAATTGCACATATCATTAATTAAAATCTAGAGAATTAAATGGGCATAAAATAGACTTGAACTATAAGCACTACGAATATTTTTTTTTTCTATGGCCAACGTATGTGCGTATTTGCATATATATAATTGAATACAGGAGTTCGTGTTCAGTGTCTAGTTTTCTTCATAGTGAATTTGGGTTTCATCACTCTATCAAGTTGGTCGTCCTGACTGAACTAGCTATATTTTGTGTTCTTTGATTTTCTACTATTGATTGCTTAGTTATTTTATACTTGCATGGCACTGATAACCTAAAATGAAACAGTTCCTCTAACAAATGCATTGTCGAGATTAAATATTTTCATCTTAGGACCGAGCAAAACATTTGATTTTGAGTTTAAATTTCATTGTGGATGCAAAAAAAGGTCCATTGTCACCACTGTAGAATACTAGAACATTTTGTATGAAACTTGTTCCTCTAGAAGGCGGATCTTATACTTTTTTGGGGACCAAATTACTGTATTTATTGATTAGAAGTAATGGAAAAATACTGGAGACTGTTTGCAATTTCGTCAAGCAATGCTACTGCTAATCTATCATTTCCTCGGCCAATAAGCTCTGACATGACCGGGCCAAACCTTGTAACATATTGGTTCAGGTACACCTGAAGATGCATACAGCCAGAACATCATAGGGTTTGATGATAAAAATGACATTTGTGTAATCTCAACTACCTTCTTCATTTTAGGGTAGACTTGTTCATTTTCTTTTAATTCTCCTGTGGAAGCAATAAGTTGAGAATGCGGCTAGAGTTTGTCCAAAGATAAAATGGTTGGTGTAGAGAACTTATTCCATGAGAAAAAGTTGAAGAAAGGTAAAAAATGGTCCTCTCACCAAGGAAGAAAAAAATTAAAAGGCCTTAAGTTATTATTCTCTCTTTCAAAGGAATGACTGTTTTGTTTTTGGGGATATGCTCCTTAGAGAGTTCTAGATCCAATGTGCCTGCAGTGACATTCAATCTTCTGTTAATATATTATTCTTTTCATCCTAAAATTTATGATTAGTAACATTATTTCTGTTTTCTTTTTCTTATTTGACTTATTGCTCCAGTTGCTTGGAATGTTCAGGTTCTTATAGTCCTTCAAGTAGTTGGAATTATGTTTGGATCCTATCTAGTCTGTAAAAGAGCTGTTTTCTTCTATTATTTATTTTCCTTATACCATCCCAATAATGGTTCCTGAGTTGTTAATTAAACGACAGAGTCTTGACCTCTTTTAAGTATGATTATGTGAGAAGAATAGAATAAATACCCCCTTCATAGAGAATTGAATATTGACATGAGAAGTGGGCGACGTAGTCTGAACTCTGGATTACCTCGAGTAAAACACCTCTATTTATGATATTGTAATCACGAAAACCAGTCCTTTGCACTTCCTTTCTTTGTTATACTGAAATGACTAGAACCTTGTTCAACAGAGATTGAGTGGACCTCCTGGAGTGACAATGGATTGGCAAGGTGCACCAGCAAGCCCTAGTTCCTACACTGTGAAGAGGATTTTGCGTTTGGAAATTCCTGTTGATACTTATCCGAATGTAAGATCTATACAAAATTGGTAACTGTTTACTGCAAACTAACTTCAACATAATCAGAAGTTTCGATTAAATATGCTAGCATGAACCATCTACCTTTTCTTTTGGTCAGTTCAATTTTGTTGGAAGACTTCTGGGCCCTAGAGGTAATTCACTGAAACGTGTGGAAGCTACTACTGGCTGCCGTGTATACATCAGAGGGAAAGGATCAATTAAGGATCCAGACAAGGTCTGTAACAGCCATGCCTTCTCATTTTCTTTTATATAGAACTTTTAATTGCCAATCCTACTGGAAATTCTGTTTTCCCTTTTCAGTGATTATGGTCCTACTTCCTTTACCCACCTCTCCATTGCAATATCTTAGATTCATTCCACATCTTTTGATGCTTTTCATATATTTTTCTAAAAAAATACTTTTTATTCTTCTAATATATAGGAAGAGAAGCTAAGGGGAAGACCAGGCTATGAGCATCTGAACGATCCACTCCACATCTTAATTGAGGCTGATCTTCCTGCTAATATTGTTGACATAAGGCTAAGACAAGCACAAGAGATTATCGAAGAATTGCTCAAACCTGTGGTATGTATCAGAACGTGTCTTAATTATTTGCCATTCTATTATTACTATAGAAAAAGAAGTTTTTATTTTGTTCTTTCTCTTCAGACTTGCTCTTTTTACAACAAAACTACTTGTTTTAAGAAAGTAGACAATATGTTTTCTATGAAAGAGACTGTAAATTAGGCATATGTGTTGGGATGCCGACATATACGCCTACATGCACACATGAGGGAAGCATGATATTTTTCTTTTGATAGTTTTTCCTCTGTTGAGATCATTTGAGACATCTGTTCAAAATGCAGGATGAATCACAGGATTTCATCAAGAGACAACAATTGCGTGAATTGGCGATGCTGAATTCAAACTTCAGAGAAGATAGTCCGGGCCCAAGTGGTAGCGTCTCTCCTTTCAATTCAAGTGGAATGAAGCGTGCAAAAACAGGACGCTGAGAACTCATGTAGAGGAATACAAAATACATCTTGTTTTCATTATTTGATGTGTTTCAACTGCCCTCGGGAAGTTCATGCAGACTGCCAAAACATACCTTCATATACATCTGAATTCAGCACAGCTACAAGACTAGGCTAACAGTTCTTGCTGGTGAGCTTTCTGGTTGGTTTTTATTTTATTTTCTTTTTCTTCCTCAACAAAAAGAAAAACAGAATTGCAAAATAGAACACCTCATCTCTCCTCAAAAAAGAAAAAAGAGAAAAAAAAATGAAGAATTATATGGGTGGGTGTTGAGTTTAGGTTGATGAGGTCACTTTTTGTTGTAAGTTCCATATAAATATATATTCATTGGATTTATTCATGTGTTAAGTAGGTTTAAGAAGTGTGAAATATAATATCAAGGAGTACAAGCGGTAGGCTTGTGAATTAAGTTGGAGTTTTGTAGGTGTATGAACTTTTCTTAGTAGTCTTCTTCTGTAGAACATATGTATTGTGATAGCAGGATCTAAATTCTTTCTCGTCGACTATCACAAACTCATATTCTCCTGTAGGAGATATCGGCCACAGAAGTTTGGATAACGCATTGAGTATTCATGTGTACCTTAATTAGTCACAGGTTATAATTGTTAGTAAAGACTACATATCTTGAGTTTGATCAAGGCTGTTCCGGGTACTACAATGGGGCATTGGAGGTCTCAATTTCTGGTTGGTAAAAATATGATCGAAATTAGTATGAAATGTTGACAAATTATTGTGGAAGTGTTTTTAACGCATGGTGTCCATGAGGCGCCAAGAAGTTTCCCAGTTGATGATGAAGTTATTTGGTAGAGAGAATGGTATTGCCATGACTCAAGGGATTGTTGGTTAAATAGAACAAAACTTGTTGCTAAAATTTTAAATTTGGTCAAATTTCAAATCAAATAAAAATTTGAATAACAATAGTATTTTAATTGTATGAGTTTGAATAAAATATTTTTTGAATTTTTACCTTGACAAATGAGTATGTAGATGAAGTTGATTTTAATATAGAGGTGTATGTCTACAATCAAGTTTGGGGAGGAAAAAATGAGTACATGATGGAGAGATTTGATCATTTTTTTGGTCTGTTGAAGTCCTAATGGGAGTAGCAAAACTTATTCAAAAGATTTTGTTAGGTATGAAATGCATTGATAGTAAAGATGGACAGCTTTTTCAAATGCGCACACACACACACACACATATATATAGTACAGAGGAGACAACTTGGGAAAATTGGGAAAGATGTATCGGTGCCTTTTGACATGTGGGTTATTACGTATCAAGAGCAATTTGTCCATTTAGTTAATTTATTATCTTCTTTTCATCTATTTTAGAACAAAAGAAAATAAAAGTCATGGAAAACTGTTGGAAAAAGAAAAAAAATTCTAATAAAATTTAAAATATATTTTTTACATTCTACTAATTTTTAGGATACCAAAATTTATCATTCTATATAAATTTTTAACCTTAAATAAAATAAAATAAAAATTATAAATAAATTGCAAAATTTTTTTTTGATAAAAAATAAATTCCACTAGTTAAAAGTGAAGTCTAAGCGCGCAAATACCACTTGACATTTCTCATTCTTTGAAATGAGAGATAAAAATAATGTATTGATATTAATTTTTATTATATATATTGTATAGAGATAAAACTTTAGATATTGTTATTAACTCAAGTTTTAAAATATAAAAATAAATAAATTTTTAATTAATTATATAAATTATTAATGTAAGTATAATTATGCTTTTAATTGATAACTTTAATATAATACTATAATTTTTCTTTCTTGTTATTTTTTTAATAAATATAATTGGAAATGAAAATATTGAAAATTGATTTACTGATAGCATTTTCAATTGTGGCATGTATATAATTAATTAAATATTTTTAAAATCAATAAGAAAAATAAAATTCCGACCTGCCGGATTCGAACCAGCGACCTAAGAATTTCTTACATAACAGTTACCACTACAGTCCGCTCTGCCGAGCTAAGGTCGGAAGCTACCCTGTCTTCACTTTAAAATATAGGCCTTTTACCGTTCTCAAGGAAGCCTGTTATGGCGTTAAATTAGGGCTTTTCTTCAGACATTTTACCGTCGTGTCAGCTTGTGCAACTGTGCGTCTCTATAAAATAAACCTACGACGATCCATGCGGAGAGTGAAGAGTGCGCAGGATACAGTGTCCTACATTTTTAATTTCCGTCTCCCTAGAAAACTCAGCAGACGATAGATCTTCTTCCACAATTACCAAGCCTTTCGATCGCTCGTTTCAACCATAATCACATTCTTCTCCTTGGCTCTTCTCACAGAAGATTATACATACTTGCATATAACTTTTTACAGAACAAAAATGACGACTATGATTCGGCTCCGTTACCAACTTACAACCAGAAGGTTCCCTGATCCCTGCGAAAATCGCCATTTTCCCAATCCAGCGATTTCGATTTCATTTCCTCAAAATCGCTCTCTCAGCCGTCTCAATTCCAATCTCGTTTCTCCAAGGGTTCAACTTTCCTGTATCGGGGGAGATGGGAATAATGGAGTTCGCGGTCGCGGAAACGGTGGCAACGAAGGAAACGATGGAGGTCACAAAGGGGATGGTCACTCTGATGATGATGATTCTTCGTCGTCGTCGTCTTGGGGGCCGTTGGCTCTTTTCCTCAACGGATGGAGATCTAGGGTTGCAGCGGATCCCCAATTCCCATTCAAAGTTCTCATGGAGGAATTGGTGGGTGTTAGTGCTTGCGTTCTCGGCGATATGGCTTCTCGTCCTAATTTCGGTCTTAATGAGCTTGATTTTGTATTCTCCACTCTCGTTGTTGGTTCGATATTGAACTTCACTCTCATGTACCTGTTGGCACCCACCATGTCTGCAACTTCTCCAAGCTTGCCTGCCATCTTCGCCAATTGCCCCACCAGTCACATGTTCGAACCAGGTTCTTACACCATTCTCAACCGGCTGGGCACTTTTGTGTACAAAGGAACCGTCTTTGCAGGTGTTGGATTCGCAGCTGGACTAGTAGGGACTGCGCTTTCCAATGGCTTGATCAAAATGAGGAAGAAGATGGACCCGAATTTCGAAACCCCAAACAAGCCGCCTCCCACTCTGTTGAATGCTGCGACGTGGGCCATTCACATGGGTGTCAGCAGCAATTTCAGGTACCAAACCTTGAATGGAATCGAGTTCATGTTGGCTAATGGGTTGCCTCAGATGGCATTCAAGACATCTGTGGTGGTTCTGAGATGTTTGAACAATGTCCTTGGCGGGGTTTCTTTTGTGTTGTTGGCGAGGATGACAGGATCGCAGAGCGTGGAAGAGGACAAGTCGGGTAAAATGGAGAAGGAGAAGTTGGTGGATGAGGGAGAGGATTTGGAGAGCAACTAGTGCATTTTCGTTTTCGTATGTTGTTGTGTTGTTCATATTGGTTGGATATTGTCTGATGAATGTAATAATTTGGAAGATGTGCTTTGATTATCGGCTGTCTTTGTTGTGGAAATAGAAATGTCTTTCCATTATGAATGTTTGGCAAGTGATTTCAGGTGGGTTTGTTAGTTATCTTCTTCTAATCTATCTTCCATCGGAGCTGCTTCAAGTAATGATGTGCCTAGTGCCACTTGCTTTGGTTAAAAGACCTTGTTCATCATCTTCTTCTTTAGTAGAGAGACACATAAAAGAGAAAGGAAGAGAGGAAGAAACTGAGAAACCCAGAAAATATCTAATGAGTTGGAAAATAAATTTTCGAAAAACCAAACACTAAAAGACAAAACCAAAAAATTCATCATCTCCTCTTTCACCTATTCCAAGAGCAGACTTTCACATTGTTTTTTTCTTTCTTCTTCCTCTTGTTACTCATTTGAATTGTATATACCTTTGGTGAAATGTAACCAAGAGAAAGAAGATGATTTGAAGCAATGTACTCTTAAAATTTTCTATTCTATTCTCTCTATAGAAATGTAACCTCTATTGACATTTATTAATATAATAGGATTTTATTTATTAATATAATATGTTCTACTAAAATACATATGTTTATGTTAATGAAATAGTAGGTTAGGTTTAGATAAATACATACACTAATTCGTCCCTCTTTTCTCGTCAACTGGAACTTGATCTGAATCAAATTATATTTTAACAAAAATAATCGTATGGAATTAAATTTGAACTGATCGAATTAGATGGATTTGGGTATAAAATGCCATCCCTATTCGACCCTATTGATCAGCTGTATTTTTATGGAAAAACAAGCTTATAAGTCTTCATTGGTGATGAATCCAGTTAATAGTATGCCTTGTATAGATAGTCACTACCTTGTAAAGCAAGAGATGTTTATATGATAATAGTGTCAGTTACTCATTGGACTTGAGGTAACCGCAATAATCTTGTGAGTGTTTCATTATATTTTGATACTGTTAACATATGGTCATTTATGGTTATAAAAAGAAAGTCATTAGTAGGGAGGACAATGAATTAGGTTTAAGACAAATTTTACAAAACACGTCACAACTTTTTAAATATTATACTATGCATTTTCTACTAAGAAAGAAGTGCTACCACATGTTTAGAACCTGATAAATAATGTACAACATTATGCTAAAATTTATAAATTAACAATACATCCCTTGTAGAAATTACAATTCATGAGTCTCACAAAAATCTTTAAATTACATCATAATAATATATTTAAATCTATTTTACAAAGAAACATATGAAATCATTAAAAGATTCTTTAGAGTTTTCTTTTGATCTTGAATTTACTCATAATCTGAACTAATATGCATTAGGGGAGTATGAATTGAAGTGAGCTTCATGAACTCAGTAAAAATAGGGTAGTGTTCAAGTAGAGATATGCAAACACACATTCATATAAGTTTAATAAAACAAATGTAAATTTTATCAAAGAAAATTCAAAATTGAACAACAATTATGACCACCATAATCATCATTATTTTAATAATCCATTCCAAATACTTTTTAAATTTTCATATAGATATTGATATCACATATCCAAATTCCATATCCTCTTTCATCTGATCAAATTTTCTTTCACATAATTATATATCTTTTCACATAATCATATTGCCTTTCTTTCATCATTTTTCCAAATATCACCATAATCCAAATCTAAACTCATATGACATTTTTCAAGGTTACAAGCATCATCACATAACACAAATAAAAAATCACAACCACAATTACATATGCACACTTTTCATTTATTTATATATTCTTCTTTTTACATCCTTTAATGATCTATCGCACAATATCGTTTTTTTGTCGGTATCATTAAGGCCCATAAGGATCTCCTATACGTATGGACACTCGAATATTTTTGTAATAAATTGTCAACCATTCTTATACCTCAACCTATATGAGCATTGTAAACATTAGTCGTCCTCACAGTTCAACCATTGTGAGCGCCATAAATAGCAGTCGTCCCCATGCCTTAGCTTATATGAGCATTATAAACATTGATTGTCCTTACACCTTAACCCATGTGAGCGCCATAAATAGCGGTCGTTCCTATACCTCAACCTATATGGGCGCTATAAACATAAGCCATTCTCACACCTCAACCTATGTGCGCGCCATAAATATTAACCATATCCATAGTAGGGTTCACCACATATATTACATGCACACCCTCCCTCTCTGATACGTGAAATAAATTTTCTTGTCCTTCAAGTTCCCTATGTTATTGTGTTGCTAATCAAATTCCTTGTTCAAATACACATGCATGCGCAACTTAAATACCTATATGTTCAAACTCATAAACAAGTATACATATTTATATATCAAACACTCACAAAATCTATTAGAAAACAGTCACATACTTACATGTATATCCAACATAGTTTATATATATTAAGCATACACCCAACGTATTATGTAATTAGCGAGCAACCATAATCTATATCTACACACATTACTTACATATATTTATCTTAGTGCCATTATGTTAAACCATAAACCTATCATAATTATGCATACATATATATATACTTCTTACAATATACATATTACATATAATTATGATTTAACACACATAAACTACTGTAAATATATTAGTCATAATACTTATAAATATATAAATTACAAACACATAACACACATTCACTGATATAACTATATACATATAATTTCTTTGAATATCGATGTATCCAAACACACACAGTTATATCCATACAAAATACATACATATACATTCATACTTTAGATGTGCATATAAGTAGGTTCTACACCTGCGTAAATACATACATTATTTTATGCATGCACACAAACGACTCAATGCATAAGATTATATATGCTTAGATCAATGCACTTATATATCTATTTACATTTTCGCACAGCTTCATATATATCTAGATATAGAAACACATATCACATAATCATATATACAACTATATACATGCACACACCCTATAATCCACCAATCTTTACACATGGATCTTACACGTTAAATAAACAGCGGCCTATGTATAACCTCATCTCTACTTACTCATTCACGCACAACATATCTGCATCCATATCATTATCCATATACCTTATACAACACCAAAGCTCATACACACCCATTCAAATACACATGAAACTTTGTAAAACACCTTCCAAAATAAAACTTGAGATCATCTATCAAACTTTTAAATTAATTATTTTAAAATCAATAAACCATTTTATGAAAAAATGAAGTCCTTGAATGGAAATTGACCTAATTCTTACCTAAAAGTTTGATCATAAAAGTATCAGGATCCTTACTGGTTCGGACTATTGTCTCCTCTAATTCTAAACACCATTCGAATATGTGACATCTCAAATATTAATTAAAGCATAAGGGTGCCAGATAAAGAAATAGATACGAGTGCATTTAAGATAATTATATGCAATGGAATAAAATATTACAATCCCTTACTAAATAATAATAGAGTTCTAAATCTTATAATATTGAGATAAAATAAAATTAAATACAAGCGTTTATAAAAGTTAGACTCATTAGAGTGCAGAACAAAACATGCACTCAAAACGGTTCATGGATCCATAGGATCTTTAAAGGCTTCAATAGGTGGGTCAACGATCGGTTCCTCACAATCGTCCTCAAATGAGAGGAGGCATAGAAAGGGGTGAGTTTCGCATACTCAGTAAGGAAAGTAGTATTTAAACAACATCACTAAGATCTTAAAAGTAATTAAACAAAAACGGTACCTTAGTCACTTACCATCAAAGATCGTGTCGGAGGGCCATTTAATAATAATGAAAATAGTTTACTTTATTTAAAGAAAATGCCGATATCAAGTTAATCATGTCAAATCATGTTATAATTAAATAAAATCATATCAGTCTTATCCATCATGTTAATCATATCAATCAATGTCATAATTTAAGTAGACAAAGTCAAATAAATCATGTTATGCTTTGATTTTATTCTTCGCACGAAGTTATTCCGACTTCTATCTACTGAGGGCAATACAGACTCCCGACTACCCTTGTGGAATGACTAATGCATTTTATATCATTTCAGCAATTTGCGGCTTGCTAAACAATAACATATTTGCGGTTTACCAAACTATGACACAATCTATGATCACGGCCATGCCAATCACAATGGTTCTACATGTAAATTATAATCACGATCGTATGTTACCAAAGGTGACCCTTACAATCATATCGCATCACTACTCTCGTCAAAGGGTATTTTGTCATCCATAGGGAACGATCCTCTCACGTCTTTTCAGACTAGATGGGGAGAAAATAGAACCCCTCAGAGATAAGAAACCTAACGAATCATGTCATTTAAATACCATGCATGCTAATATCCATAACTATTTCTCATGTTTATGATACAACATCACGCTCCATCACTTTGTCATATTGTCATATACACCTTATTTACGCATAATATAAACATGTATATACGTATGCATAAGCAATATTTAAATCATAACAATAATCAAACATGCAACAACCAGTTTATATTCATTAATATTGCATTAATTAATTCTAAAACGCTTCTTAGAATGTAAATATAAATACTAAATTTCTTGCCGAAAGCTTGAAATTTTTTCTATGTTCTTTTTCTTCTATTCTTTCCTCTTCTCTCTCTAGCTCTCTCTCTTTCTCTAGAATTTCTTTGGTGAATGGAAGAATGAAGTTGGAGTGGTGAAAAAAATGATGGAAAAAGGGTCTCTATTTATAGAAAATAGGGACTGTTGGATTTGCACAAAGTGGCAAAATTCTATGAGGAGAGAGGGAGAGAAAAAGTGACCTGACGCGATGCGACAACTAACAGACACGACTTATGGATGACTAATGCGAGGATGGCGACGTGATAAAAGTATAAAAAATAAAAACATGACGGATGAGGGATGGGCATGCCCCCTAAGGGGTGGCACACACCTACCAAGCCTGCCGTGCGCCTATCTGTGTGAGATGTAATGCCCACAAACTGCACACCTCGCGCCCATCTGCGCGTTATGTGATGCGTGTAGACTGTGCACCTCGCACCCCGCACGGATGGGACGTGCACGTTGGC